AACCTCATTCGGTTTAGGAAGCTCTGACTTGACGAATTTCATTTTGAATCTCTTATGAAATACCATATGCAGACCAGTTCCGTTCGACACGCATATTTTCTCTCTTATGAGCGGCAATTATTTTTCCTTAAAAGTTAACCAATTCATACTCGTTTAGTTTTTTCATAAGGAGTTTTTTCACTGCTCGCTGACCGTTTCTATATGTTCTGTTTATTCTAAAGCCGAACATTGTGTAATGTCTAGAATCTGTCTAGTTCCTGTAAAATTTACTTGTATATTTATATTTACTTGCTATGACGGGAATTATTTATTAGTTGAAGTACGTCACTTGTGATCAGGTGGGGCGTCGAGCAGCTGTCACCAACCATGACTTTCTAATAGCAACTGGATTGGTAGGACCCGATGAGGTCGAGCAGAGGAAGCAGGATGCCGAAGGCTTCCAAGTTTAATAAAAGGAGTCTATGTGCCACAGCGTCAAAGGCTTTGCTAAGATCAGAGTAGATAGCCACGACCTAAGCCTGTTCCTTATGAGGTGCTGAAATTAAATTAAAAAAAGGCTAAGTGGCAAGTTTCTCATGATCCTTCAGGTAAACATCCATGCTTACAAGAGCTCAGAAGCTGATAAGATAGACAGAAATCAGGAATTTCTTTGAAAACTGTCTTTTCAAGAAGTTTTTCCAGAGACGGAGTTCTATGCACACTCCGACAGTTTTTAGCATCGGCTCAGGACCAAAACTTAAAAACTGGAAAAAGAATGGAGGTCTTTCATGTCCTCGGCAAAACATGGTTTGAAATATTGAATGAGAGAAAATGACTAAACAGTGTGGAAAGGTACAATGCCTGTATGATAATTGAGTTTGAACACCACCCGTTTCCGAGCAGGGTAAGTTTCTCAAGCAGCTTACATGTTCTTTAATTAGGCTTGAGGAGACATCGATTTCATTGAATGTTCTAGTTAAAAGCAGACGAAATGAAGAAACTTGTTCAGATTCGGTTGTAAGGCGTTTTGCAATCAGTACATTAAAAAAATCCGCTCTGGCAGTGTCACCGATGAGGAGGATTTTTTATCGATTATCAGAGGTGGAATTTCGTGATCACGCCTAGAGCAGGACCGACGCCGGAAGATTTTGGCGACGGATTTATGATTCCAGTATAATTCTGTACACATGAGGGATATAAGCAGAGCCTTCTATCACCCTACTTACAGATAGACAGATGAAATGCATGCACGCATGTGCATAACATTTATTCCCGTCATTGACATCGAGTAAATATTTGACCATCAAACATAAATTTATCAAGTCTTTTTTTGAAAGTCTCCACGTTTTCTGCCAACACAACTGGGTTCGGCGGAAAAAGAATTTGGCACACACTTCAAGTTTGGCATATTTTACCCTCAATTTGTATTGTGCCCTCGAAGATTCGTCGTCCGCGCCAGTTCGAATAATTCGTCAAACTGAAGAGCACAGTCTAGCCCTCCGGCGATCCTGAAGGTCATGATCCTATCCCCTCCGTATTGTCTATAAGCGAGAGGAAACATTTTTAACTTTTCCAGGCGTCTCTCATAAGGTAAGCTACCTAATCCGCCGACCAGTTTGTTTCCTCTTCTTTGTGCGTTCTCCAATAGAGTGTATTCTGGATTCATCCAGCAACACCATCCTTGAACACAACATTCCAACATTTGCCGAAAAGCTCTTCAGAAAAATTGAATAAGAATCTTCTAATCGCGCCTAGGATACCCATAGCCTTCTTTGATACCTTGGCGCAGTGAGACGATGGTTGAGAGTTGACGTCATCCGCATCCAAGTTCACTTAACTTGTTGATGGTCTCGAGTTGGTGACCTCATATAGAGTAGTGGAATCCAAATCTTAACGGCCTTCTTTTGCTGGATCGTAATGGGATAAGTTAGCATTTATTAAGGTTGAGGCTAAGACACCACTCATCACACAACTCTTGTAAGCGATTCAGATTCTCTGGTAACTGTGGAGAGTCTTCTGGCTTCTCCATTGATTTCCACAATTTGAGATCATCGGCAAACATTACGCGCTCGCAGTTCAGAAAGTTCAGACAGTCGTTCACATATATTAAGAACAGAATTGGACACAGAACGCTCCCCTGCGGACTGCCACTGTAGACGGATGCCTACTCCAAGTAAACGTTTCCGATACACACACGCTGAGATCTGCCCGTAAGAAAATCGGCATACCATTTCAACAGATTTGCATTCACGTCCGCTTGACGTAGTTTAAATATAATCGTCTGTGCGGAACACTGTCAAAAGCCTTTCTGAAGTCACTGTACACGGCGTCGACTGATAAACCCATGTCGATTGATTTCGTCCAGCTCTCTATCGATACTAGCAGGTTAGTGATGCCGGATCGACCCCTTCAAAATCCATGCCGATGCAAACTGAGCAAGTTGTTTTCTTCAAGATGTCGCCTCAGTTCCGTTTTTATTAACATTTCCAGCACCTGGCAACAGATGCTTGTGAGACTCACTGGTCTGAAATTATTTGAAGCTGTTCTCGCAAAACCTTTGTATATGGGGCCTATACTTGTTTTTTCCAGTCAGTAGGCGGAACCCCGTCCTCCATCGAAGCTCCGAAGATCTTGTATAGCAGAGAGGTCAGTTGGTCTGAGAGTTCATTCAGGACATTTAAGTCCGTTTTGTTTTAATCAGTTATAATACGCTTGTTAAATAACCTGGCACAAGTTTGAATCAGACAAAGAACTAGCGCGTGCACTTTTACCTGCTGACGACTTTGTTCTTATTTACTAGTTTGTAACTGTTGGGATACATCTATCTTCGTTTCCCGGATAGCCTACTTACTCTGCCCAACTAATGGGTTTATCACTTACATTGGTGACCCTATATCGTTCATAGCTCCTTCTGTTTCGTTTATGTTTATAACTCGACTTCATCAGGTCGTTTCTGTCCAACCGATATCAGAAAGTCATGGTCGGTAATAGCTACTCGACACCTCACTCGATCACGAGTGGCGTACTTCAAGGCACGGTTCTGGGTCCGCTACTCTTCCTTCTGTACATCAATGATATTTCGACTGAACTCTCAAATTCGCAAACTTTTACTTATGCCGATGACCACAAGTGTGTTTATTCATACTCTAAGGACACCGCAAATGTTTGTGTTGAAAAAATTAATGCCGATTTACTACGCTTAAGCAGATGGGGTTCGACATGGCAGATTGAGTTTTCATCATCCAAGTGCAGTTTCATATGTTTTGGTCCTACGAAACTTCCTGGTCCCATAATTTTTCAGAAAAACCCACTCTCAGAATGCCTCAATATAAAGGACCTAGGTCTATGTTATACAAATAAGCTTGCTTTATCACCTCATGCAGATAGAATCTCTGCCAAAGCCGCGCAGATATGTGGATTCATATCGCATTATTTTTCCCTTCCGGAAATGAAGCTAAAACTTTATCAAATGTTTGTTCTTCCAGTCCTTGAATACTGCTGTCCTTTCCTTGGTTTAATGAACGCCTGCGACCGTAATAAAATCGAAAATATTCAGAGGGTTTTCACCCGGAAACTGTTCTCTCAAGCTTCGTCCAGTATTTCTTATACTCAGAGATGGCAGCTGGCGAACATTAAGTTTCTGTAGGTTAGAAGACTCGAATCTGGCCTTTGCTTCCTTTTTCGCATCAACTCTAGCTCCAGTCTTCCGCACATTGGCACTCCCACTCCGAGAGATCGGTCTTATGCCACGCGCAACTCCTGCATGGTGATTCCGCCGCCTCTTTGTACTACATCTAAGCGCTCCCTCTTCTTTGCTTCCAAATATGCCTTCCTTTGGAATAATCTTCCGCCTGAAATTAGATTATCGCCGGAAAGCATAAAGGCACTGTTAATGGTCTCATTCCCGAGCACTCAGATTCTTGACTTCGAGAAGGGTCCTCCTGGGATTTAGTGGTAGATTAAGTGGTAACTCTTAATTATAACATTAGAAACCCCTGTTTTGAATTGGTTTCTAAATCCACTGCTATCACTCCCCCCCTAGCGACAATTTTCGCGGTTTTTGATGTCATCTCCCGTATTCCGACCTCATGCGGTCTGTCGGCGGTCACGGCGGAACCCTCAGTATTCACTGTTTACTAGTAGTTCGGTCGTACCTCCCTTCCTCACTGCTCGGCTGAGCTCGAAGCGTGCTGTGGCCGATCGCATCTGGGTTCCTCTCGTCTGGCCTCTTTGACGCGGCATATCAATCCGACCCAGACGATCTCAATTTTGAATCCCGTATACAATGCCATTTGCAAGCCAGTCCTGTCTGACCCGCATTCGTACCCCTCAAGTCTGAGATTAATTGCTACCCTGTCGATGACCGACAACATTTCGTTATATACCACCACCTACAGGCCAGTCATGCACGTTTTTTTCTGTTATTACTTTTACGGAGGGTTTTTTTCTCCTGTAAAATTAAGCCAATCATTTTTAACTTTTTGTAAGGAGTTTTTTTTCACCCCCCAATTATCATGTTTCTCAATGGACTAATAATTCAGAAACTAGGAATTGCATTTTGTAAAGATTCGGCCTACCTCGTCTAAAACTCGCATGTAGATTTATTTTAACTTGCTTTGATGGGACCCCGACGGGTCTTTAATAAAAAATTATCTATCTATCTATCTAACTATTTCCATTCGGCTTAATCCTCACTCTACTTTTTATTGATCAGATTATTTATCCAGCCCTTATTTGCTAGTCACGCCGTCTCACACTTTCATCCAATACGAGCGCTAACCTTCCATCTCACTGTCAGCGCGCCAGTCCTCTACCCCAATTATCTGACCTCTGACCGACACCGGCTAAGTATGTCCAGCGATTCTACCAGCCAACCGATAGCCGGCATTCACACTTTTGTCCTGCCATCCGTGTGGCTAGGTGACGTTGCGTTTTGGCTACGCACTGCGGAGTCTTGTTTCGTCCTCCGTCAGATTACACGAGAGGATAAGTAGTTTCACTATGTTGTGGCAGCATTCCCAATGGATATCGCCACCGACCTCCGTGACATCATAGATTGCCAGCCCACAGAAGCCCCTTATACTGCCCTAATTGAGGCCCTCATTTCCCGCATTTCCTTGTCAACACAAAAACGTCTGCAAAGTTTAATTTCCGAGGAGGACCTCGGTGGCAGGAAGCCTACGCAGCTTCTTAGGAGTTTGGAGCAGTTGGCAGATGGACAAAAGCTAAATGCCAGCATATTCAAGCAGCTTTTTCTCCAACGGTTACCTCCTTCTGTGCAAGCCATCCTTGCGCCTAATATTCCTTCTTCGACTGTTCAGATGCTCGCGGATACTGCTAACGTTATAATCGAGTACTACCAGCCTCCTGTTACGGTGAACGTCGCTAGTCGCAGCACAATTACCCCCACAATCGTGGATGTTGTCAAACGCCCGGATGCCCTCACTCTTGAAGTTTCCCAGCTCCGGGCCACTCGTGTCTACAACTCTCGTAGTCCTGCAATTTCTCGCCGCCCGAGATCTCCCACTACAAACCAACCTACAGTTGATGGTTTATGTTGGTATCATCACAATTATGGTTCTAACGCCCATCGCTGCCACTCCCCGTGCAAGTACAAGACACCCGCGTTGGAAAACCCGCCTGCCGACCAGAAAGGACAACGAACGTGGTCGGCACATCCTCTCCCAGTCGCTTACTCCACATCTATGACAGGACTTCCTGTCGTAATTTTCTCGTGGATACTGGTGCGGAGATCGGTCTTACCCCATCCACTTTGACTGATCATAAGTCGCCGAACTTCGTTTTTCTCCAAGAAGCTAAAAAGACTTCTATTACAACTATTGGTCAACGATTCATACTCAAAAATAAAATAAAACTGCAGGCATTTAAAATGTGATTGGGTCACAGTTCAATGGTAATCATAAGGTAATGCCTGGGGTCACTGTAATTTAGTGCGGAAGATTGTACATGACAGATTTTACAAAACTGGCTGTGCATAGTCATGCTGTACAAGCCGAGTTCTGTCGAAAACTAGAAGAGCAAGTTTTCTTTCAAACACACAAACTGTGTCAGCCGTCACCATCTCGCTCGGAAGCGAGTTCCCCGGCCTGACAACCCGCTGGCTGAATGAAAATTTTCGTCGGTCTAAACGCGTGCGCTCATTCCCGACTTTGTATGCATGGCCGCGTAGTTGGTTTGTACGGGCGAACTCAAAGAAGTCCTCTGCTCTTAATGAGCAACCCTGGCCGCGCACAATCCGGAACGTCCAGAGTAGACTGCAGTTTATTTGTCTATACGAGAGAGGGAATGGGCCAAGGAAATTCAGCCTCTCCTGATAAGACAAATGCTTTAGACCGTCGACCATCTTTGTCGCTCTGCGTTGCACATGTTCGAGTAAGTTGATATCCTTCCTCATCCATGGTGAAGCTGCTGGCATTGCATACTCTAGATGAGGTCTTACAAAGACACCAAAGAGTCTTTCGAAGAGTTCGGGAGGAAATATTTTAAATGCACGTCTTATCCAGTGTAGAGTACTAGTTGCCTTCTGGACCATCTTTCTACAGTGTTCTGATGGCGATAGATTTGTGGTCGTCCATACACCCAGATCTCTGTGTCTTTCCACAGTTTCTAACCTCGTCCCGTCAATATAGTACTGGTGTTTGGGAGAGGCATTGCGGCCGGTGTTCAGGTGCAAAACCACGCATTTGGACACGTTAAACTTCAAAAGCCATCTGTTCGACCAAGCACACAGTTTGTTGATGTTCGACTGCAACTTCTCTGCGTCATCATTACACTTGAATTCACTCCACATTTTTATGTTATCCGTGAACATGAGAGCCTCGCAAATTCACTTTGCTGATGCAGTCAGTAACATAAATCAGGAAGAGTACTGGGCCTAAGACAGAACCCTGTGGGACACCACTTTCCACCTTTAACTATTCCGAGGTAGAATTACTAACGACGACTCTTTGTAGTCTGGATCCACTTAAACATTCTTCCTTGAATTCCTACATCCCAGATCTTCTGTAAAAGAAGCCTGTGTGGGACAGTCAAAGGCCTTCTTGAAGTCAAAAAATATGACATCTACCGGAAAACCCTTATCGGTAGCTCGTGTCCATTTCTCGTGTGAGTAAATAACACTGCTTAAGCAGGAGCGCTCTGGACGAAATTCGTGTTGGGCATCGCACAATATTTTGTTCTGTTCCAGGTATTTCATCAAGTGTCTTTTGAGAATGCGTTCCATTATTTTACACGCGATCCAAGTAAGACTGACAGGACGATAATTTCCACAGTCAAGTCTTGAGCCTCCTTTATGGATCGGAGTAATGAGTGCGCACTGCCACTCTTCCGGGAGCTCGCCGTCTTCAAATGACTTTTGAAATATTGCTTATAAGGGTTTGCACAGTTCATTAGCAAATTCACGAAGTGCTAGGGCGGGAATTCTATCTGGGCCAGTCGATTTCGCATGTTTCAGCCGGAGTAACTCGGCCCTTACTATGGTAGATGAAAAGAGTGGTTCCTCGGTTAAGGAGGGTAGTGAGGGGATAGGAGAGGGAAGGGTACTGGGAGGAGAGGTTGCTTGGCGAATGGATGGATGGGCAAATATAGAACTAGGTTCTCGGGTGAAGACGGACTGAAAGAAGTCGGAAAGGAGGGACGCTTTAACCTGGTCATCAATCTCCACTTTTCAATCTGCAGACCTAAGGGCAGGGATCAGCTCCTGAGTCCTTTTAGTACTTCGTACATAACCGTATAGAATTTTCGGATGCTCCAACGAATTTCGGAGTATGTTCAGTTCAAACTTCTTTTGCAGCTTTGAGGCCTCACTTTTACAGACGTTTCGTTGCCGCTTATATTCCTGTAAGTGCTCATCGGAGCCAGTTAGTCTGTAACCCCTCCACAGACGATTTCTTTCTCTGAAAGATGCCTTCAAGCCCGGGTTTATCCATTTTGGGAGGTTTGTGATTGTCTTCCTTCTGAGAGGACAATTGGAATAAACAATCTCTTTCAGTAAGGAACTGAAAGTATTCCAGTTGTCGTTTGCTCGACCATGCAGTTCAGTCTCCCATGATATAGCTGGCGCTTCCCTCCTCATGAGAGAATAGTCCCCTTTCCAAATGTTTCTCTCCCACCTCTCGGGTTGGACGGGTTTGGAAAACAGTGAGAACTCGAAGTAGAGCGTGATGTGGTCGCTTGACCCTAATGGCTGTCGGTCCTGCAGGTCTAACACATTTTCCTCCTCTCGGGTAAAAATAAGATCAAGGCAGTTCGACTGCTGTCCTTCCCTGACCCGCGTTCCAAAGGTAACATTCTGGCAGAGAAGTTTGTCCGTTGCCCATTGAAGTAGTTTGTGATTAAAGCTGTGTTGTGGCCTTTGTGCAGTCCACGTTAGCCAATCAATGCCAGGAGCGTGTTAAGCCGTGTTTAGCCGTCCCCGTCGTTTAGTCGCCGATACGTTAGCTATAGCCGAGACTGAATTCAGTCACATGATGGATCTAGGCATAATCAGACCTTTAACTAGTCCATTGTCTGCACCTCTACATATGGTGTGCGAAAAGTCTCTCGTTGACTGGCGCCATGCGGGGATTACCGACGGTTAAACACCTGTACTGTGCCTGACAGGTATCCACTTCCCCATCTCCACGACTTTTCATCTAGCCTAGCTGGAGCAACAATATTTTCCAATATCGACTAAGTCAAAGCTTTCCATCAGATACCCGTTGCTCCAGAAGACGTTCCCAAAACGGTGATTACAAAACCGTTTGGTTTGTTTGAGTTTGTCAGGATGCCTTTTGAGCTACTCAACTCCACTCAAACTTTTCAACGTTTCATCAACGAAGCCCTTCGCGATTTACCTTTCGTTTTCGTCTACGTCGACGATGTTTTGGTGGCCAGTTCCAGTGAATACGAACATCTACAACATTTTCGTCTCATTTTTGGACGATTGAACCAATTTGGCGTTTTCATTAATGCTTCGAAATGCTTTTTGGTGAACAGTCTCTGTCTTTCCTAGGACATCGCGTAGATGCTTCTGGTTGTCATCCCATAGATGCCAAAGTTTCAGCTATTCGCGATTTTCCTACTCCCAATTATTTTCAACAATTGCGTCGTTTTGTAGGCCTTGTCAATTTCTATCGACGTTTTATACCTCATTGTGTTCAATTAATGTTATCAACTACTTACCTTTCACGCGGGAATAACCGTGAGTTTTCTTTTCCTGACACAGCTTTAGAGGCTTTCAATCGTGCCATGAAGGTTCTTGCGGATACAGCTGCCTTTTTTCACTCTATACCTGATGCCCGACTTTCCATTGTGGCCGACGCCTCCAATTTCGCTATAGGTGCTGCCCTTCAGCAACAGACGCCCACTGGTACACAGCCCTTGGCTTTCTATCCTGCCAAATTGACACTCCCACAAACTCGCTATAGCACTTTTGGTAGAGAACGTCTTGCGATTTATTTAGACATTAAACATTTTCGTAATTATATTGAGGGCCGAGATTTTTGTATTTATACTGACCACAAGCCTCTTACTTATGCCCTTTCTATTTCTTCCGAAAAGTATTCATCCGCGAGGCCCGCCATCTCGATTTTATTGCTCAGTATACCACCGACATTCGATTTCTTAAAGACCTTTATAATCAAGTTGCTGACTGTTTTTCTCGGCCTGGCATTAATGCCATCAACCGCCCTTCCATCGATTTGGAGCGCATAACAGAACTGCAAAACCAGCCGACTTTCACTGAGAGCCTTCAACACACTAGTCTTCAGCTCGAGGCCATTCCTCTTTCCACGACCCCCGGTACAATTTTGTTTGACGTATCGCGCGGTGCCTCCCGACCCGTAGTGCCAAGCGAGATGCGACGAGATTTTTTAGTCGCGTTGCAAAATCTGGCTCACCCTGGCATTCGCACTATCCAGCGCCTCGTCAGCGAGTGTTTCGTCTAGCCAAGCATGAACTCTTATATCCGCCAGTGGACCTGTTCATGTTTGGCCTGTCAGAAGGCCAAAGTCGGACGACACAGCAAAGTCCCCATTGGCACTTTTCTTTCACCCGACGTCCGTTTTGCAAATGTCCATATCGATCTGGTAGGTCCCTTTCCAAAATATCGTGGTTGCAACTACTTACTTACTGCAATTGACCGATTTACTCGTTGGCCCATTGCAACTCCCATACCTAACATAACTGCAGATTCCGTTGCTCATGCCTTTTTGGAACACTGCCTCTCTCATTATGGCATCCCCTCAACTGTTACCACCGAGAGAGGCCAACAATTCGTGTCTAGACTTTTTAACAGCCTTACCGACCTCCTCGGATATTCTCGTATACGCACGACAGCCCACCATTCCTAATCCAACGGCTTAGTCGAGCGTTTCCATCGGCAACTCAAACCTTGCTCCCAGCTCATGACAACCCTTCCCATTGGAGCGAGCATCTACCTTTGGTCATGCTCGGTATCCGTACCTTACTCAAGCCCGACTTGGAGTGTTCCGCTGCCAAACGTGTCTACGGAAATACCTTAGGGATTCCCGGGGATTTTTTCGGGTACTTTCAGAGCTCGGCCGACTTGGATCCCAGCGATTATGTGCAAAGATTGAGCCATGCCATGACTCATCATCGAGCCACTCCTCCACGTCCTCCAACAAGTAAGTCGTACATCGACCCGAACCTACTAGCATGTTCATTTGTATTTGTACGTGTAGATGGCGTTCGTCGGCCACTACAACAGCCCTGTGATGGCCAATTTCGAGTACTATCTCGAACGGACAAGCACTTTACAATTGACCGTGGAGGCCGCACCGACGTGGTCTCAGTCGATCGCTTGAAAGCGGCTTATGCCGAGCCTCTTTCAACTTTCCGCAGAACAACCTCTACTCGGCACATTGCCACTTGCTATTTCGCAGACTCCACTTACGTCCAATAACCCTGCGTCTTCCCTTATCCCACAGACTCCTCCCCTTACACGCAGCGGCCGTCGTGTCCGTTTTCCCGACCGTTACCAACTAGTACAATATGCATAACACTCCCACATTTTCCTTCTATTGACAACAATTTTTTGAACTCCGTTTTCATAGGAGGGGGAGTATTGTGGTGACATTTAAGTCCGTTTTGTTTTAATCAGTTATAATACGCTTGTTAAATAACTTGCCACAACTTTGAATCAGACAAAGAACTACACGTGCATTTTTAACTGCTGACGACTTTGTTCTTATTTACTAGTTTGTAACTGTTGGGATACTTCTACCTTCGTTTCCGGCTAGCCTACTTACTGTGCCCAACTAATGGGTTTATCACTTTCAGGGCGTGTACTTGCTTTTTTCCAGTCAGTAGGCAGAACCCCGTCCTCCATCGAAACTCTGAAGATCTTGGATAGCGGAGAGGTCAGTTGGTCTGAGAGTTCATTTATGACTTTTGTGAGCACGCCGTCCGGACAAGGCGATTTAGTGGACTGCAGTTGACTCAAAATTTTCCTTACCGTGTCTGCTATGATGGTCCCCGTGCCAAATGTATTTCCTGATCTGACAGCTGGGAGTTATCTTTTTCATCAAAAGCCGGCTCCTGGGTATACACAGATGTGAGGAAATCGCTTAAAAGGCGCGCCTTCTCTTAATTGTCAGACAATGTATTTCCTTGGAAGTCTTTTATACAGAGAATGCAGTCTCGATTGCTTTTCGACTTGTTTACGTATCCGAAGAACTTTTTCGAATTTTGCGGGATATTTTTGAGTACTTCTGACTCAAATTTTGTCTGCCCCCTCTTGAGAAGCTTTCGACATTTATTTCTTTGTTATCTAAGGTCAGTAAAATGCTCTGGTCGCTGACATCTGGCGTGCTTTCTCCAAAGTCCCATTTTCAATCTAATGTTATGTATATTTCTGACGTCATCGCTCTGGTCGGGAAGTGTGTAGTTTCCTCTTCAGTGGTCAACAGCTCTCTACCAAGCGCCGCATTACGTTCTTGAAGAAGAGTCGATCGCCCTCCGGGTCAGGTGCTTGTGCAGCATTCCAGTTTACCTTCTGTAGCAGATTTTTTATTCGAGAATAATCCCCTTTACATACATTTTTTCCTCAGCAGCTCGAATTTCGGGTACTGAAAAAGACTATATTCCCAAACACGAACGCTGTGGTCACTTCTTCCAAGGGGCGTGTGTGAGTCCAATCCAAGAATGCAACTATCATCCGTAGTTATTATGAGATCCAAACAACTTGACTGCTACCTGTCTCGGAGTCAAATGTCCGTTTTAACGTGCTGGGTAAGGAACTTATCGGTGACCAAATGAATAAGGTTTTGTGCGAAGGGGTTTGCTGATCGTGTGCAATGCATCAAAACCCACTCGATATCTGGACAGTTGAAATTACCAAGTAGCATTATATGTTTGCTTTGACAAATTTATTTTATCTCGATGAGGAGTGCATCGTCCGCATTCGTCTGCAGTCCTGGCGGTCTGTAAACCAGGGCCATATGAAGGCTTGGATGGCTTGGCACACTCAAGTAAGAAATGAATACTTCACAACCAAGGTTCCTACATGGGGAATGCTCAGCTCTGGTGTAGTTGATGCCATCTCGTATAAATATCGCAATTCCCCTACGTCTTCGTCCATTTCTGTCCATTCGCTGAAGCTGCCAGCCACTCAGCATACCTTCTGCGTCTTCTATTTCCTCATTTAACCGTTTTTCTGTTAGGGCTATCAAGTTGGGTTGGAAATGGGCCACGACCAGTTTTATTCCGTCCGATTTGTTGAATAAACTCCGCACATTGGTATACATCATTTTTATATTATTCGGTTGTTAAGATCGCTGAAAATTGTTTGCTTGTGCTTTTGACTGACAGTTACTACTGTAAATTAAGCATGGCGCACCAAGTCCACTAATTGATTTTGAATATACTGACGATGGTTGGAACGGAACACCGGCGATTTGACCGCCAATTTTACCGGACGATTCCGCAAAACAGAACTATCTATTTGTACAATTTGGTTGTTTCTATTTTCAGATTCACGCCGCCCTCGCTCTGACGGTTTCTCAGTTCCGCTACCAGTACCCACATTTTTATCCGTTCGATTGAGTGATGGTCCGACTGTGAAAATACACTATGATGGTCGATTCAAAGCCTAGACTTTCGTGAAATGATGAGACCTGCTTGCTGTTTGTTTCCCAATGCGACTTTTAGCGATCTCGGTCGTACTTCCTCTGCGTTGGTTCTAACTAAAGGCCTCAAGCGGAAGATTTTTTGGACGTCGGCGACCTCACCGGGTTTTTATATGTCATTTAGTAATTGTCAGAATATTAGCAGATCGTGTTTTATCCTCTCTTTTTGGTTGTCGCCGGGAGCGTTAGGAACTCCTTGCACTACCACACAACGTAATATCCCGGGAAAATACAAGTGGTTGCAACCTGCCTTCTTTTGATGGCGATAGAGTGAGTCCCACACTCTGGTACTTCCTCTATGACTGTATTCAGGTCTGTTGCTAAGCTAGTTACGCTCATAATGCCCACCACAACATCTTTATTTGGCTGCCTCACATGAATTCTCGTATTATACCCTGATAAACATGTGTAGGGCGAGCTGTTAGCGCACTTTTGTGATGTGGGTAAGTCCATACGATTACTGTCTGCAGTGTATTTTTGCAGTCTTCGATCGCTGTTTTACTTTAGTGCAGACGAATCCTGTCTGATCCCGATTTGCAAAACTTGGGGAAATGCAAGATGCAGTTCGATTTTCTTCTATTTTCCTTTTGTCCTCATCTATCTCGACTAAGTCGGAAGATTTGTCAGCGACTTTGTTCGTGATCTCTTCTTGTTTTACTGACGTCCGTCGCCTTTTTCCGGTTTCTTGAGATTCCTGTGGTCCGGCTTGTTAATGCACTGCGTTCTTCAGGATTAATGATCGGTTGTCCATACCAACCAGTGGAGAGCAAGTCAAGTATTTTATCACAGGAAATAGAAAACGGTTTACAAATGAGTGATTGATCGCCTTTTTCTGAGTATATATTATTTTTTTAGCCGTCCGGCTGTTCGAGCGTAGCCCAGTGGTTAGGAGAATCAGTTCTTGTTCGAGGAGTCCCTGCTTCGAATCCCTGATGAGGTCGACTCCTGTCACACATAGTACAGTCGTGGATATCTGCATTCCCCGTGCTAGCAAGATCACGCCAATGTTGCATTAAACTATAATGTACAAATTATGTTGGCAACTAACTAGTTTACTGAGCACAAAGCAAATCTTGCTCCCACACGAAATTCAGTATCAAATGCCATTTGGAAGCAAAGAACCACTTGGCCTTCGCAGACAGCCCCAATATCAATCGATATCGATATGTCGATATAGGTATATTGCCTGGATATCGACTTCGGCTACTTTGTCGGTATACCACTGAGACTGCCATGTCGAGATTGAGCGACAGGCTAAAAAGGTCAATGTACTATGCAGGACAGATAAATATTTAAAGTACACCCCTTTCTTTGAATATAATGTTCCCTTCTTTGCCTTCACTAACGTTTCCTGCCGACACGTAACTCGTGTTATCGTATATTAGTCGGTGCTGAGGACTTTGAATTCAAAACGGAACCCACCTAAATCGTGAAGACAAGCAAGCGGTAGTATGCGAGTTGTTAATTAATTATATATGGTAATGTAGGAAAGCAACGTACAAAAATAACATCTGAAACAGGGACACTCCATATTCCCAAGGTACAGTCACGTATTGGTTTTAAGTAGACGGTCCGGCTACCTGCTCTGAAGGGTAAATATATGTAGGATGTGTATGTACTTGACTCACCATCCACTTTTGAAACTGTTTTACTTCTTTGCAGCCACTTGCCTGTCACATTTAGGCACCGCTCTAGGCATTTGGTGAAAGAGTTACCCGAAACATAGAGGCCTGCATGCCCCCATCTGTTCCATCTTACGTAAAGGTCTGTACAGAGTAACTTAAGAGGGGTATTTAGTAACGCAACTCTAAATGAAATTTTTCGAAACATGAGGAAATTCTCAACCATTACGCCTACCTTTAAAAGCAGCAACCGATCACATCTCCAAAACTATCGCAATGTTCACCGAACACCGGCTGTAGCTAAATTCCTCCAGAAAATAATCTACAACCAATTGCCAAACCATCTCATGAACACCAACCGCATCCCCTCTCTCAACATGCATTTTTACCTAAAAAGTTATGTCAGTCCTGCCATCTTACTTTTTTGGAATTCGTTTCCAGCAATAGAGATGATAGAAACATGGTAGATTCAATATACTTCGATCTAAAAAAAGCCTTTGACAAATCCCCCCATAAAAGACTACTGGTAAAACTAAAAAGTCATGGAATTAGGCCCCCCATTCTCGATTTTCTTAAATACAATCTTCAAAACCGAAACCAAGTGGTGCAGATTCGAAACGCAGTATTGGAGCCATCCCCTACTGCCAGTGGAGTACTTCAAGGCACTATCCTAGGCCCCTTCTATTTATCATATATATTCAGGACTTATCGTCCATATCAGTATCAGCTAAGACGCTTTAATATGCGGACGACCTGAAACTTGCATAAACACATAACGGGAATACAGTAGCCAATATTCATAGAACAATTGAAACTGATCTCAGAAAACTCAGTGAACGGAGTAATTAGTGGCACATGACCTTTTCGCCCACAAAATGTCATCTCTTGATCCTTGGTCATCAAAAACTTCGCCCCATAATATTCGAAGATAATGAAATAACGGAGGCCCCATCGGTAAAAGAGTTGTGTCACAGCTATACAAATACCCTTGATTTATCTCCCCACGTCCAACAAATATCACCGAAAACCACTCTTCTGTGCGGATTCATATGTACAAATTTCACCTTGAATGACAGTTCGACCATCAATTTCGATGATGTCCACCGTATGCCCCACAGCATTCTTGGAGCAAGGACGATGATTTGCGCAGGGGTTTATAGTGCCAGTAGACTTGTGCTGCATCTACCTACACTCTCTCCTCCTCCCCCGCCTGAGCACGGTGTCAAGACAGAGTTAAGAAGACCGGAGACGAGGGAGGCCGCAGGTGGATGGCTCGGACGGATCCTCACCTTGGCGTTTCATCACATCCCCTGGTCCACACAACAAATAACCAGGATTTTAACCAGCACAACAGCGATTGGAGGCTGGCACGACCGAAGCCGCACCTATGCGTGCCGTTAACGCCTGGCTCGGATCCCACACTGTGGTGGGAGTGCCATAAAGGCCACATTAAACGGGAGCCATTGCAGCCTGACTCTCAGACCGCCTCCTGTCAAGGAGGAGGTCCAGGGTACCCCGTCAGTTGGCAAGCTTACAAGCCACGGCTTTTAGCGCACAGTGATAGCTTCAAGCGCGTCAGATTGTTTATAGTGAGGAGAAAGTGCGCTGGGTCGTCGACCTCACTCTACATTCCCACTCCCACACCCCAGCAGCTGTCCGAGCCGCTCAGCAGACTGGAGTGGGAAATGGGCGCTGTGGCTGTCATGCTCGACTGACCATGACTGCGCGCGCCACGGCACGACCTGGCCCCCCATACACACAACACCAGGATTTCACACAACGGGGATTGAACGGCGTGTCTCTCACTTGCGTAAGAGTGCCGTGGAAGATGCTGTCTCAGCCCGTCCCCAGCCCATCAGTCCGTCACTCCACGCAACACACACACACAACGCGACGAACTGCGTGAACCGAGAGAGGGCGTCAATCAGTAACTTTCCTATCCACGGCGCTTGACGTGTCGGGATAGTCCCGGACTCAAGTCACCCGTGCAGCCGAAGCCGCATGGGGACCGAGTCGAGATGCGATCTTCCCACTTGCGTGGGAGGTGGCAGTTGGGTGCATGAGGTGTGGAAGAGTTGATTTCTGGTGGGGTGATGGTGGTGGTGGAGGAGGAGGAAGGGAGTGAGTGAATGCGTGGTGTGGCCGGCGGTTGTCTACCGCAGGTCGTCGTGGATGCGCATGTGGCCGAATAGGCCCATGCGATGCCTGAAGGTGCGAGGGCAGTGTGGGCATTTGAGTCGAGCATGGTGGGTATTGGTTGGTGCTCCAGGCACTGGTTCGCCAGTCTCTGTGCGACGGATTTGCAAGTGACCGACCAGGCCGATGTGTGAGGTGAAGGTGCGGTCGCAGTGAGGGCAGGTGTAGTCCAGATCCTCTTCGCTGGAGTCGGGGGAGGTGGTGGTGGTGGTGTCGGTTGTTGCGCGCGTGACAGTCGCCTGAGCAGCCGCCGCTGGAGCAGGGGAGGAGGAGGAGGAGGAGGAGGAGGAGGAGGAGGATGGAAGTGGTGGGTCAGAAGAATTGTCAGAGTTAGTTGGCGGCGGAGAGGAGGAGGAAGAGGCGGACGGGGGGACGATGGTTAGTGCTGTTCGAGAGGCGCAGTTAATCCGAAGATGTCCAACAAGTCCGATTCGAGCCCGGAATGTCCGTTGACATCGAGGACACGTTGGAAGCGGTGCTGCGGCGGCGTTGAGTACTGGACGAAGTTGTGAGTTGCGGGCTTCGCGTTTCGCTTTGGCGGCAGTGATGCGGTTGGCTTCGTAGATCGCAGCGCCTGTCTTCACTGTCTTCCTCCAGGTCGGTCGATCGAGTGCGAGCTCCTCCCAGTAAGTGGGTTTGATTTGCTGGCGTTTCAGGGAGGACTTCAGGGTATCCTTGTAACGGCGAATCTGGCCTCCTTGACGGCGAGAACCCGTCGCGACTTCTTCGTAGGTTTGCCGAAATTCGCAAAGTCCCAACGGTCAAATTTCTACACCATAAGATATGCCACTATCTGGAATGCTCCTCCAGGTTCTATCCGGAAAAGTCAAAACCTAATCAAGGTTAAAATAAAAACTAAGAAATTTCTTTTAAGTAACAATGCACATTTAATTTTGAATAAGGTGGAACATTTTCAAGTCAACTTTCTGATACGAATTTGATCCGAAAGGCATCCGATAACGCCAACCGCTTGAATAATACCAGAACATTGCACTTTAAACAATCAACTTTATGAAAGACAGCTTGACTGGTAACCATAGAACAGATAGTGATATTCTTTCTTTCCTACCTTTCTCGTTTTCATCAGCTATGTCACCTGGCATGAAGTATCCCCTAAGGAGTTAATAGAAACTTTCCTTTTGATAAAGCCCTGCATATCAGTTGTGCTTAAGTCCATATTAAGGCCATATCAAACATACATACAAGTACATTAGACCATAGTAAAGAGTCGACCACTACTCCTATAACGTCGCATTCAACAGAACAACATGATATATGATTCAATATTAGTTGGACAGATTTGATGGTGACTTAACATTGAATGGTTCTTTCTCCTGATATATATATACATCGTTTCCAGCTCTTAGTCTAGACAACAATGGCAAACTTCCTAAAAAACACAACAGAAATATGCGATCGCTTCTTAGCAGCTGGCCAGATAGACTAACTGTAATACCCGAGTTACCTGAAGGTTTGAATTCGTCTGTAATGGGGCCTTCGGAGAGCGGTTGTGTTTGTTCGTCTGAAGGGGTCATAGTAAATATATCCATTACGGTTCTGCCTTGCACGCAGTGTTTGTAAATCTGACCACACGGATTCCAACAGACAATATCAGATTTGAACTGCCGATAACCCAACGTTTATTAAATCAAGGGTTGAGAACAGGACGAATCGTGGGTTGGGGTCAAGTGATAAGTGGGGGAACGACAATAGGGTAGGTAAAATTAGAAGATGTCCGAGCTTCTTCCGATTTATCCTCCTTCTTGTCCAGGTGTCGGTATGCGTGACGCCGCCTTCTGCGCGTCGGCTTGTTGATCCATCACCGTGGCTTCAGGAGAACGTTAACAAAGGAATTAAAACCAACCTTACTAAAATATCCGTCCTTTACAACTCCCCCTCCTTGAGATACGGCCCTGTCTCCAGGGCCGTTGTTTGTTGGATCATGACTATCACCAATCTCGACCTCAACTGTAGGTTCTGGGATCGGATTGGGTGGGATGCTAGGGAGGCAATCGTCTTTCGCAATGTGAAGTCGTCCTCTTTAAGGCTTAAGTTCGTCATAATCTGCCGTAAACGTTGGGCCGTCCGGCATATGGGCATCGCGTATGATGTACGTTGTGGGTGAGAGGACGTCCGTGATGAGGTTCGGGCCTTCCCATGGGTAAAAGAATTTTGCCGTCGTGCCGACCAGAATTATAGATCTAAAACGTAGGACTAGGTCACCGTGCTTAAAGGGTGACACGCTAGTTCTCCGGTCAAATTATTCCTTCTGTCTGTCGTATGCAGCTTTGTGGTGTTCAGGTGCCATGTTGTGTGTGACTCGTAACGTCTCTTGAAAATCGAGTATATACTTATCCCGTTCGTCCGAATCTTGTGAGAGGAGTGAAAATGTGAATCTGCTGGTAATCTAAAGTGGCGTCCTGTCAGCATACGATATGGTGCGTAGCCGGTAGAGGAGTGGATAGTGGCTCTATACGCCATCATCGCATAAGGCAGCCGTGTATCCCAGTTATGAGGGTGTTGTTCATCGGCGAATGCCTTCAGGAGGTTAATGATGGTGCGGTTCGTGCGTTCTGCTTGTCCGTTGCCTTCTGGATGGACCGTAGTAGCCCGTGTCTTGTGGATGAGTAGAATGTCGCACACATCACGTAAGAGATTACTTTCAAAATTAGCTCCACAATCGGAGTGTAGGGGAAGTGGGGCTCCGAACAGGCAGATCCACTCGCTCAGCAGGGCGTTAGTAACCGACGCGGCATCTTGCCGACGTAATGGGACGGCCTCCGCCCATTTTGCAAAATAGTCCACCATCACCAGTATGTAAAAGTTACCAGCGGTTGTGAAAGGCAGTGGTCTAATCACATCTATGCCTACGCGTTCGAACGGGAATCCTGTGGTCATAGGTTGTAGTGGTGTCCTCCGTCTGGGGATCGAGCCCTTAAAAGATGCACAATTTGGTCATGTGTTGCAGAACGTAGTCACCTGTTCCCGCAGGTGCGGCCACCAGGAAGGTTGTCTTATTGCGGCCCCCGTTTTCGTATGCCCGACGTGGCCTAGTTCTCTGTGGATGTCTTCTCGGACTGAAATGACCAGGCTCCCAGGAACGACAAGCCGTAGTTGACTGTTCGCATCGTCTTTGAAGAAAAGGAGGTCGTTTTCTAGATGCAGGTGTTGCCAGTGGTTCCTCAAGATTCGAGCAATGTCGGAAGAGCCGCAAAGCTCGGTGTCAGTGGGGCGGTGTCTACCGTGGAGCTGGCGGTCGTACACGATAGCCGTGTCCGTATCTGTACTTTGCGCAACCGCCCACTAGTGACGTGTCAGTTCACTAACCGTGATAGCATTTACGCTAACATCCTCCCTGTACGCAGATGAGTCCGCTGTTGCTGCGGGTCTTCGAGACAATGCGTCCGCGTTGTTATGTTTAGTTCCTGGCCGGTATTGGCAGGTATAATCAAATTGTTGTAGTGTTTCCTGCCATCTAGCCAACTGTTCTTTGGCCTCTTTCATATTTTGCAGCCATTGTAATGCTTTATGGTCCGAACGAATAATGAAGTGTCTCCACAATAAGAAGGGTTTAAACTGCTAGACGAAGGTCATCAGGGCAAATAACTCCCTCCGGTAGGTGCAATAATTTCGTTGCGCTTTATTTAGAGACTTGCTAGCAAAGCAGGTAGGGCTTTTATTCCCTGTTTCGTATGTCTGTGATAGAACTCCGCCAATAGCAAATCCGCTGGCGTCTGTATCGACGACAAAGGGTGGTGCATCCGTAGATGTGTTAGGTAGCATTAACACCGGGGCTGAAATCAGTCGACTTTTCAATTCTTCGAAAGATGTTTGGCAATTGTCTGCCCAAGCGAACTGTCTATCTTTCTCTGTCAGTCGGTGTAGAGGTCATACAATCTCCGCGAAATGCGGGATAAAACGTCTGTAATATGATGCAAGGCCTACGAAACTTCGTACCTCGGTTGCTGACTTCGGCGTGGGGAACGTGCGGATAATGCCGATTTTTTTTCTGGGGATACAGAGATGCCCTCTGCACTGACCTCATGGCCCAGGTATGTGACCTTCTGCCGAAGAAAAGAAGATTTTGCCGGCTTGAGAGGTAGACCAGCGTCATGTTAAGCTGTCAATACTGCCGTGAGTCTACGGTTAAGCTCATCTGCAGATCTTCCGAACCCGATCCCGTCGTCTAAATAGACTAAGTAATGTGTTGGAAAAAGGTGTGATAAAACCACCTGCATCAGTTATTGAAACGTGGCCGCAACACTGCATAGACCGAATGGCATAGTCTAAAATTCAAATAATCTTTGTGGCAGAATAAAAGCCGTCTTATGTTGATCCTTGGGTTCAACTTCTACTTGCCAATATCCAGATTTTAGATCCAAAAGGAAAACCATTTAGTACCAGCTAAGGCATCTAGAGTAACGTCATGCCATGGCAAAGGGAAAGAATCCCTAACGGTAAGGGCATTCAGTCGTACGTAATCCACATAAAAACGTAATTTTTCGTCCTTCTTTGGTACTTGAGTGACTGGAGACGCCCAGGGTGAATGGGATGGTTTAATGATCCCAGCTTTTAACAGCTTGTCCAGAAGATCGTTAAATTCTGCCTGTAAGTGGACCGGTATCCGTCTCGGAGGTTACCACAACTGTTTAGCGTTTCCTGTTTCAATAGTGTGCCGTTTTTAGCTCGTACGACCAATCTGAATTCCATCCCATGCGAACACATCATGAAAGAATAAAAGCAATAACCGGAGATCTTCCTTATGCTCCGCGTCCATGTCCGTATGGCCTTTAAGTATATCGTCAATATTTGTAGGTGGTAGACTCACAACGGCAGAAATTCTCGCACAAACAACAGCCTCATCAAACGAATCGTTAACGTTTGCCAAGTCCTTTTTTCACCAAAACTAACAGCTCGCTTTCTGACATTGATACAACAGTCGTATTTGCTAAGAAAATTGATACCAAATAACAAGTCCCATGTCAGGCCGGGGACTACTAAGAAGTCACGATCCTTGCACGAATGTTGCAATTGTAAACTGACATGAGCAATCCCCGAACACTCTAAAGGGGATCCACTAGTTGCGACTAACGTACGGAGAGACCGATATTTTTGTATACTTTCGAGCAGAGTATGTGTTAGGATACGCGGATGAGCAAGGGCAAGCGTAGGGTCGATATCTATGAGGGCGCTAACCGATTTCTTTTCAACAATAATGTCAATAAAGAATGATGGGTCGTCAAAAGGCACTGAACAAATAGGGATATAGACACTACCAGGTTGTTGGTAAGAGTATCTATCCTCCGGTTGCCACGGCCGCACTCCACACTGGCATTGTGGTCGTTGATATTCCCTTGTTTGAGTACTGCGTGGTTGATACTTGTGATGTGGTGGACGAAATCTAGCGCCATTAATGAAATTATACCCAAAACGCTGTGGTGTAGAAGTAGATGCATTTGTCATTTGGAGGCGTTCAGGTGCCCGCCGCCAATTTTGCGCAGGGGAAACCTTGGATCATTCAACTTCGATGAATCGGTCTGCTCGGTCGATAGCATCTTCTAAAATGCAGGAGGTTGTAATCGAAGTGAATCTGCTAGAGCACGAGAATACAACCCTTTTATAAAATGCTGAAGGGTGACTTCTTCGGCGTCCGCAGCGTTCAAAGAGCGATAGGCCTCTTTACATAATCTCAACATATCATCCGCGAACTGGCGCGGGGACTCGTGTGGCTGCTGACTGCGGTCGACTGTCCTACGGACGGTCTTGGGGAAAATAGCCGGCGTAGCTGACAACTAAGTTTTTTTATATGGAGTACGTCCTAATACTCCAGAATTAAGTGCTTGGCTGATTTGCATGCTGGCCAGAGGTTTCAATAAGGCGCGGCTTTTTTTCGTCCTCAGGTACTTCCTCTAAATAGAAATCAAGCAAATTTAACCAATCCCCGAAGTCTACTTCTCCATCAAAAATATGAAATGAGGATGGGATGGCGTGGTAGTAGGGTGCTGGTGTTCTTCTTAGGCTTGACGGGTCTGTCATGCGCGCTGACACCATTGTAATATCCGAGTTACCTGAAGGTTTGAATTCGTCTGTAATGGGGCCTTCGGAGAGCGGTTGGGTTTGTTCGTCTGAAGGGGTCATAGTAAATATATCCATCACGGTTCTGCCTTGCACGCAGTGTTTGTAAATCTGACCACACGGATTCCAACAGACAATATCAGATTTGAACTGTCGATAACCCAACGTTTATTAAATCGAGAGTTCGGAACAGGACGAATCGTGGGTTGGGGTCAAGTGATAAGTGGGGGAACGACAATAGGGTAGGTAAAATTAGAAGATGTCCGAGCTTCTTCCGATTTATCCTCCTTCTTGTCCAGGTGTCGGTATGCGTGTCGCCGCCATCTGCGCGTCCGCTTGTTGATCCGTCACCGTGGCTTCAAAGGAAGCGGAATATCGCTCACGAGAACGTTAACAAAAAAAATTAAAACAAACCCAACTAAAAATATTCGTCCTTTATATTACAACCATAAACTAGAAAACACCCAAATTTACCCAACTGGAAAATACTTTTAAGGTCAGGCCGATATCTACGCACTTCAATTTTCATGAAAAACATACTGAACATGTCCCTGAAATCTACCAAAATTCTCACTTCAATTTTTATATTGTATTTATGGTTCTTTTTAAAACTTTTCCGAATATTTTGCTTAGAATCTTAGGTTCCTTATTCGCGCCTTATTGGTTAAACAAACACCCTTAACAGGTTAAGTCAGAGTGCAATCAAAATGAATGAGTAAGTTTTAGCTATTTTGCTGAGACCAAAGGAAACTGACAGTGCCCAAGGGAGCAAAAATAAACCTATTTTATTCTGTCCTAGTCAGTTCGCACAAATTTGAACCGCATAGGGTAACGGTTCTTGATGTCAACTAACCACAAATACTGAATAGATTATGGGTTCAACAAAATCGTCAGTATATCAAATTTCAGCGTAAATGCTAACTGACGCCTGGCCGGGACGTTAAGTTTGGTGTCCACCACATTAAGACAGTTTAAGTAAGATTATTAATGGAATGAGGCTTTTGCCCTTGAGCTCCCTATTCATATCGATAAACAGAAATAATATCACCACTTACATCAGCAAATGCGGAAATTCAAAAGTTAGCGGTAAATGCAAGCCAGGCGCAAACTGCCGACGCTAAAACAATCGTGATCATATGTACAGTAGTTTCTCAACAAAGGAGCATCTAGTGTACACTTAAGGGATCGGACAGTTTCGAAAAGAACCACCGCATCGGGGAGTCTGTTCCACGCCCCAATCAACCTGTGAGAGAAGGCGTTCCGTCGGACGTCCGAATGAGCCAGCTCCCTCTGCAGTTTGAAGTGATGACCACGCAGACGGTCAGTCTCAGCCAATTCGAAGAATTCATCAAAGTCTATGGCACACTCACGGCCTCTGACGATCCTGTAGGTTTGAATGAGATCACCGCGCAGTCGCCTGTAATTGAGGGGAAACAGATTTAGTTCGGTCAGCCTGATTTCGTAAGGCAGATGATGAAGATTCTTGACCATCTTCGTAGCCATCGCCTGTACTCTTTCCCGTCGTTGATAATCTTCCTTCAACCACGGTCGCCAGGCCTGGACTGCATACTCTTAGTGAGACCGGAGGAATGCCCCATAGGTTTTTCCGAACAGCTCTTTATCGATCTGCACAAATCCTCGCCTCAGCGCAAACAACACCCTTATCGCGCCTTTGGCTGCCCTTTGACACTGTGATGGTGGTTTCAGCAAGGAGGTCATTAGGATGCCGATGTCTTTCTGTTCCACAGCATTTATGTATATATGTATATTGAAGGGTTAAAGGCAGAGCCCTTGGTGAGGCTATTTATGTACAGTGCTTTCGCAGATTCATACTCAAAAATAAAACAAAATTGCAGGCATTTAAAATGTGATTGGGTCACAGTTCAATGGTAATCATAAGGTAATGCCTGGGGTCACTGTAATTTAGTGCGGAAGATTGTACATTACAGATTTTACAAAACTGGCTGTGCATAGTCATGCTGTACAAGCCGATTTCTGTCGAAAACTAGAAGAGCAAGTTTTCTTTTAAACACACAGACTGTGTCCGCCGTCACCATCTCACTTGGAAGCGAGTTCCCCGGCCTGACAACCCGCTGGCTGAATGAAAATTTTCGTCGGTCTAAACGCGTGCGCTCATTCCCGACTTTGTATGCATGGCCGCGTAGTTGGTTTGTACGGGCGAACTCAAAGAAGTCCTCTGCTCTTAATGAGCAACCCTGGCCGCGCACAATCCGGAACGTCCAGAGTAGACTGCAGTTTATTTGTCTATACGAGAGAGGGAATGGGCCAAGGAAATTCAGCCTCTCCTGATAAGACAAATGCTTTAGACCGTCGACCATCTTTGTCGCTCTGCGTTGCACATGTTCGAGTAAGTTGATATCCTTCCTCATCCATGGTGAAGCTGCTGGCATTGCATACTCTAGATGAGGTCTTACAAAGACACCAAAGAGTCTTTCGAAGAGTTCGGGAGGAAATATTTTAAATGCACGTCTTATCCAGTGTAGAGTACTAGTTGCCTTCTGGACCATCTTTGAAAGGGGCTGACAATCCAGGACGTATTGAAAGGACTCGTTCTCCTTACTGATCTTTTTGGTGCGGAGTCTTAGGACCACGCATTTGTCCACATTAAAATTAAGGAGCCAACGAGCTGACCAACTGTTCAGGCGGTTGAGACTGTCTTGAAGCGCGTACCTATCTGCGTCAGATCTGATGGGGATCCACAGCTTAACATAGTCAGCAAACATGATGACGCTGCATCCCAGGTCGTCGACGCAGTCGTTAATGCAAACCAGAAATAGCACTCCGGTCCCTCAACTGAACCTCCAGCCACTTCTTCTACTTCTATCGCTAATAAAATGAAATACACGGGCCAGCGTAAACCAAATTATAAACCCACAGTCCCCTCAGAAGGACCTCCAGCAAGTACTTCTGACTCTTGTTCTCATGATAAAAAAACGCGTAACTGCAAACGTATTTAGGACTGCTTGTCAGAAACAAACGAGGGAGGCAGAACAAACTGACAACGTTCAAGCAGAACAGAACGATGATGCAGATCTCGGACCCAGTCATGTGACACCTTCAGATAGCAGTATCAGTTTTACTACATCCCCCAAGACCGATCAATCAGTATTAGAAAACGACTGCCAAACAAGACACATAAAGCAAAAGGCCTTACTAAACACACCAGCACAACCAAAACGCCCTATATATGTTGACATAACAAACAGAAACCCACCAAACTCTAATCAAAAACAAACAAGCTTATATTACGGCATCTCGACTCCCCAAAATCCACCTGCATGGCAGAGGAATAAATCAAACCACTCTAACATTCCAAACTCCTTACCACCTTATTAAAACCCTACAAATTACTTTGGCTTTTTCCCCTCCCCAACTGAAACTCCATTTAGGTACAATTACCACCTAGTTAACCCACCTCCCCATATGTACCCTCAGTCCATACACAATAGCCCATGCACTCACACTACGCCATAAGAATCACCATATCCACCAATAGCCACACACCTACCTCCATTTAGTCCCCCACTCACTCAAAGTACCCCCAGAAATCCTTTTTTTCACCACAGCCCACCTCTTCCATATCCGACATCCTAAAGATAGCTCTTCTAAATTCCAGATCGATTAACACCAAAATATCCCAACTTAGAACTTTTGTTGAAATATATAACCCCGATGTAATTTGCATTACACAAACAGGGGCAACTGAACTTATATCGAATGCCTTGCTATATGTCCCAAATTATAATTTATATCGACAGGACCGTGTTAATAAATGAGGTGGAGGTCGTCTTACCTACATCAAAACTACCATTGCGCAAAGTGGTATTGATGCCCCAAAAGAAACGTTTGCTGGAGAAGCGTGTTTTGCCACAATAAAATCTCATGCCCAGGAAAACATATTAGTCGGATGCCTCTACTCCCCTCCAGAATGTAGTAGTGATGACACAAGCCTCAACCTCTTAATAAACAATATAGCTAACATAAAAACTGAATATAGGATAATTGCAGGAGACCTTAACCGCCCAGAAATAAACTGGGTCGAATTATCAGCAACAACCAGGCACGAAGAATTCTTGTCTTCAATTCTTTTTAATAACTGGACGCAAATAGTTGACAAACCCACCCGAGGAAACAATATTCTAGACGTTATATTCACCAACGATATCTGGCCCTTCTATATGCACTACGACTGCGCAAGCGTTGAAAAAGACAACAAAGCAATAATATCAACACTCCTCTAAACGCAAAACCAGCACCCCATTTTAGTAAAACCCGTCTAAACCCGAAAGAACTTGACAAAGACTCCATAAACAACCATATTAGATCATTGGACTGGAGCCCATATCTTCTTACAACATACCCTATGGAAGCAGTTAACCTATTATACTCTGTACTATTTCAATCAACGATCGACCTAGAGAGATAAAACGTGATAGGTAACCTGAAGCAGGGTCTAGTATGCGGGTGCATATGGTGAGGGGGAGGCTGGAGGGGGAGAGAAGTCGTCCAAGTATGAGAGAACTTGTGCGGCGTGATTTAGAGTGCAACGTGCGGGGAGCATTCAGCCATGCCGGGGAGAGGGGGCGGGTGGGGGAGAAATGAGAAGGCGTACATGGGAACAGGGTTTTGTTCATAAACGATAATTGCCATGGCAGTGCCAGGTTTATCACTTGGTCCAGCTGCTTACAGAGTTCTGGTTTTCTCCTCCGTATTGCAGCGGCCTCTGCAAAACGCAAGAGACGCCCGGTCGTCGGGCGAAACAGGATCTTGAATGCAACCATTGGGTCCACCGTATGGCCCGTGTCCACTAGCGGCTTTGTGATTGAGCTCCTGGGTACCTTATTTTCCGCCTTAAGCAGCCACTTCGGTATGTGTTCAGCTGATCAAGCTGCCAACTTCCTTTGCGTGCGCCCAATGTACTTGCATCCGCAACTATATGTCAACTCATAAATACAGTTTGATGTGGCGTGCATAGGCAAAATGTCTTTAGCTGGTCTAACTGGGATGGCGGTTGTGGTGCTTATGAGCAACAATTTAGAGGCGGCATACGCCCTTTCGATAGCGCACCGAAGTCGTCGCTTGATCACGTTTGACACGTTATCACCCATGAAGGGGAGATAGATAATCACGGACTTTTTTGATACAGATATTTCTTTAGGAGTTTCTTGTCTGGGATGGCGATATTTATCGATGAATTTCTCGGGATACCCCATTTGCAAGAAAAACGTTCTTTAGGAAAGTAAGCTCGTCATGCATGCACTTCCTCAGTTTCGTTCCAATTCAGAAGAAACGAAACTTGGTTTTGTGCCCGTTCAATAGAGCCACCAGAATTTGCTCCTCAGGTACGATCGATGCGAGCAATATCAGCTCACTGTCCGTTGGTCGGTGTTCCCCGTTGAGCTGGTGGTCAAAGACAGTGGGAGTATCTAGGTCTGTGCTTTGAGCGACTTCTCAATGATGGCGGGCCAGTTCTCTAATGGCAAGTGCGCTGGCATTTTCGGCAGCACTGCATGATGCATCAGGATCTTTGCCGGGAGGGCGTCTGTGTTAGCACGTATCTGACCCGGCCAAAACTGGCAAGTAAAATCAAACTGTTGAAAGGTCTCTTGCCCACGCGCTAACTGGCCTTCCGCGTCCTTAATCTTTTGTAGCCACTGTAATGCTTTGTGGTCGGAACGGATGAGGAAATGTCGAACAGACAAGAATGGTTTGGACTGTTCAACAAAAGACATTAGGGCGGGCAGCATTTGGCGATATGCGCAGTAATTGCGCCGGAGCTTCAACAGGGTCTTACTAGCGGAGCAGATTGGTCTCTCGATCACATTCTGATAACACTCTAAAAGGACGCCACCGATAGCGAATCCGCCGGTATCAATATCCAAAATGCACGGGGGCGCGTCAGGTCGGCTAATGGGCAACATGAGTATAGGTGCTGTAATGATCCTCGTCTTAAGTTCGTCGAAGGCGCTTTGTCACTTGTTCGTCCATTTAAAGATTCGCAATTTTTCTGTGAGACGGCGTGAGGGTGTGGTGGTCAAGGATGTGAGATCAACTTTAAACACGCATAATAAATTAATGTCGTCTAATGTCAGAAGTCAGGGAACTGCGACGAATAGTTTATTCTGTACACAGGGCAGGTTGCCGTAAACTGGATGTTTGCTTGAATCAGAGATAAGCGTCCGTTTACGGAGAGCGTTAGTCGCGGTGCGTTGTTCACGCAGGTTTGAATGTATCTGTCAGCAGGAGGGGGTGACTGGCTAAATGTTAGTCGTGTGATTGGATAGATTAGGTGAGGCATAGAGGGCGCATACTCACAAGGGCTCTTGTGTATCAAGCCAGAGCGTTCGATGCGCGCGAGGTGATGAAAGTTTGTGAGGGCAACCGAGAGTCACTGCAGTTGGATCGGATGTACCACAGTTCTAGCCGGCGGGGGTGGCCGTGCGTCAACAGCTGGCACGGCCATCGTTCGA